AGTTTTTCTGTGTAAAGAAGGAGAATGTATCGTTAACCTGATAGGGTGGGAAGTAATTTTTTATACCATCTCTAAAGATAAAGAGTTTTGAATTATGATGGTAGCTAATTTTTTGTTTTCACTCTATTCATCAGAATGTTAAAGGAAAATACTACAATATTGTGGGGTGATTTTTTTTTTAAATAATAGGGAAAAATAACATTGCTTTCGATGAATTCTCTAACCTTGAGTTACATTTAAATAGGTTTTTTTTCCCTTTAATATTCAATAGTATAATGAGCTTAACTTTGAAATACAATTTTATAGTTAGCAAAATAGAATTTTTTACACGTTTTTAAAATTAAAAATGTTCTTCTGTATTAACTCAAGATAATAAGGATTTACCATTTTAAATCTTTTGGAAAATAATACTCTAAATCATCTTACTTTGGTATTTGGTTTTAAGAGACTTATTCAGACCAGTATTTCTTAAACATATAATCATTGTGCGACTTCATTACACATTTGTCAGCTTTGGACTAATTATTTTTATACAGCTAGGGCAGGGCACTGCATCTTGTGATCCTCTTTCTTACTAATAGGATTCTGTCTGCTTCAGCAGGCAGTAATTGAAGGCTTCATGTACAGAGTAGAAAAAAAAGTTTTAGCCTGAGTGGGCCATTGTCACAGCTTCTGGTAACCAGTAGAACAGAAAACATGATAAAATTGAACTCAGAATAGAAAAATCAGAAACCAGGAAGACTATCCAAGAGAAGAAAAAGCATGTCTTAGAGCTGTTGCATTAAGTGTAGCAAATCTGATTCAGCGTAAAGAAATTTACGTTTGTGAATACCCTAGAGATTAATGCAGGCTCTCAGATAAATATTTTTAAATTCATATTATACTATTAACAGTTGTTAGGACAATTTGAGTTGTAGGGTTTCTTTTCCTTCAAACAAAGAGCATTTATGATCCATAGCCAATTTCTCACATATCTAAAAAAAGTGTGATTTAAGTACATGAGGGAATAAACCCATGTATTATAGATACTATATTTGTTCAAATTTGTCATTAGTTGACCTGTTTTCATAATCCTGTCAATTATTAAGATAAAATGACTTTTTTTAGAAAAGTGGTGCATACTTTCTTTTAGAGTTGGCAACCAGCTTTCCCCCCCGCCCCCACTTAAATTTTAAGAATTCTTATAGGCTTCAAAGATTAAATGTCAGTTACTAAAGATAACAGACAAAAGATAACAGTGAGTTCTTGGTGGTAGAATGAAATGAAAAATACCTAGACAGTATCTTTTAAATAACATGGAGCCCATCATATATAGGCAATACATTTTTAACTGTCATCCCCCTTATTTGTTCTCATTTGTGGTGTTACTGGTTTTCAAGGTTGATTGGTCTCCCAGTAATCCCTCCCTTCTGTTTCAGCTCCTTGCAAGGTTTTGTATTCTTCATTGCTCATCTTTTTTGAGGGAGTGTGTATATAGCGGGGGTGCAGTGAATTTAAAATTTTGAAAATCTTTAAAGGCAGAAATTAAATCTGTGTTATGGCAAAGCTTCAAATCAAGATTCTTTAAATTACAGAATACTACAAAAGTCAATTACAGTATTTTTAAAAAGAAAAATCCTAAAGTTTTTGGAATGAAATAGATTACACGAATATTAGACCAGTAGGAAAAGTCTTAATTTATCTGTTGACTGATAAAAAAAATATTAATGGTGCGTTTTTGCGTATATTAAGAAACTTGTATGATCTGGAATCAGAATGCTTGGATTCAAATTCCTGCTCACCTATTCAATGGCTGTGTGGCCCTGAGCAAGTTCCTCAACTCCTGGGGACCTCAGTTTTCTCATATATAAAATAGGGTAATAATAGTACCTACTTCTAGCCATCAAATGTGATAATACAAGTGAAGTGTTTAGTACCCTACTGCAGACACACAGTAAGCAGTTAATGGTAGCGTTTATTATCGTTATGGTCATCAAAAACCTCAGATGCCTTCTGAAAAATTTTTGTCACAATCAGATCTTAGTTTGAGGCCAACTACAGAGGTGCTTGTCAGCCATTAAATTGAGTATATCAGTATTTGACCCAAGCTGTCTTTATAATCAGTATTTCTTGATTATAATCCAAAAGCTAGCTATTTGTCGTTTATTAACTAGTACTCTGTCCACAAGTATCTTTTAAATGTGTGTTAAAGCATAGCCTGTTTGAGAGTTAAATGATTAATAAATTTTGGGGGGTGACTTTTGCTTAACATGGACCAAAACAAGCCAATTGTAATCACGCTGTGTTCCAATTAAATACATCCTTTTTGAACTGTGAAATGAGAATGTCAGAACATCTGATCTTCTAGTCTTCTGGTTTAAAACATTGCTTCTACCATTTGTGTCCATTAGAACATGGAGACCTAGTTAAAAGGCAGTAGCTTTTATATCAGCTAATAGATTTTATTGCTGGAATGATTTGCTTAGCATGTTTCTACTACAGTGGAAGCAAATGCCTCTTTCTTTCATGTCCCTGTTCTTTACAGTATTGAGAGTTTTGTGAGACTAGGATTTCAAAAACATTATACAAGAAATTAATTTTAATTTTAATCTCTTTAAAGATACTGACACCAAAATTGACATTTGTCTCTGCTGAATCTGTATTAGTATAACATTGGCTCTAAAGTTTAATAGAAAAGAAGTAAAAAACATACCTTGGGGCTATGCAACTCTGAAATTCAAACAATAGTGTTTTTGTGTTCCTGTTCAAACATAATCTCCTTCTTTATGGTCCCAAGACACAAGTGTTAAGTAAATAAAGGGACTAATAAGACTATTGTTTACATAATTATAACCTTGTCAGAAATAAGGACCTTTGTTGAAATTTTTCTTGAGTGAGTTATGCATGGAATGATCAAATCTGTGGAAAAAGTTGCATAGATGAATGGGATAATAGAGCCACCAAGTGTTATTTGGAATTGATTTAACAGAAATGTAGAAACAGGCTTCTCCTATGAAGCAGAAGAACCTCAAAAATTTAGACAAAAGAAATGCATAATCCTGCAAGGGGCCATATAAAGGAGAGGTCATCTTGGAGCTGGTTATCTTTGTGTTCTCTCAAAAATGAAATTAAGGTACCCAGCTCCTTATCTCTTATGTGCAAATCTGGAAAGCAGATTGATATATATGTTAAGAGCTTTATAAAAGCTCTTTTAAAACATTGGTATGATTTATATTCTTAAGTGGCTACTTAAAATTGCTTTTCTTTGCTGGAACACTGTTCTGATTCCTTGACAAGTGTTCAGCGTGTTTGTAGAGAGGAGCTTTCCAACACCTACACAAATAAATGACTGGGAAGGTTTCTAACACACGTTGTCAACAAACCATTAGCTAACATTTTAAAATACAACTTAAAGGTGTTGATAATATTTTCAGTTTAGTAAAATTAGCATATATGTTTTGCTTTTAATGCATTATCCTAATTATTGTTGGAAAACAGATTTTCATGATTCTATTTAAGCCAAAAATGGCTTGTTAGATTTCAAAAAAAGAACCTAATGTGTTATGAGATTTTGATGTTATTTTTTTTTTTAAATCCTCAAAAAAGAAATTACTTTTCATTTAAAGAGAATCTGCTTCCTGCTTAAGTGGCTAATATTTTAATTAAGTCGGGAGTGAAGTTTTTCTGAGTGTCTCCTGATAAACTCCCTCTTTTATGTTGATGGTAATTAAACAGATCCCTGAGGATGCCGTGGGCTCTGTGCAAGGCCCATGCTAATTGTCAGACATGAGACACTGACCAGTTGGTTTGCTCTTGAATAGTCCGCAGCGTGCTGTCAGCCCGGCAGTTTTATTTGTATGTATTGTGAGCTGTTGTCAGGGCTAACTGGGTGCCATTGTCGCTGACGATGTTGCGCAAATTGAGGCAGATGGCTCAGATTCAGACACGTGTCGTACAGAAAGGGGAAAGGGGATTGACCCTGCAAAGTGGGATCACAGCAGGTCACAGACCTGCTCTACACTTGTTAGTGTTTTCGAAAGCTCATGTGCAGCAACTTTGTTTTTCTCCAGTCATCCTTACAATCAAACCCCCTCCCGCCAAAAATGTGTGGGACATACTCCATGCGGAAAATGGAGGCCTAGCGGGTTACGCATCCTCTCCCCTCACGTCTCTGGGGCTTGACTGTGCATGCAGAATGAATTAGCAGGATTGACAGAAGTTCATTGTGCCTCCAACGGCTTTTCAGTCAATTGCAGTGCTTAAAAGGCTAGTTTTCCTTTTAATTCCATGTAATTAGTAGGTTCTTCGTGTCTTGGAATTTAGTAATGGAGCATTAGACCTTAAGTTTCCTCTATTACATTCTAAAGCAAAGAAAAAGGGGTGGAGGGTTGTGGGATCTAATGTTCTGAACCTTAAAAAAAAAGGAAAGTGTGATGTTACAGTTGGCTATCGTGATTTCATTGCATGTCATCATCAACATTAGAGATAGAATTTGAATATTTTAACATGAGTGAATACATTGAAACATAATAAGAATTTTATAATATGCATAAAATTATCTAACTTCTTGCATAATCATTTTCAGATATGAGGAATTAAAATTTCAAGCTCTTTGAGAAAGGTACCTTTTCTTAACATGTTTTAAAAATAAAAATGTAGTGATTTATTTTAAATGGCCCTCTGCTTGGTGAAATGTTAAATAGCAAAATGAATGATTCCCCAGTATATTGTGCTGCAGAATTATTCACCTGCATCCCTTGTTCAAACTAATAAGCAAAATGGACTTCCTTTTCTTGTTCTGTTTTAAAGATGCACTAAAATGACCTGCTTGTGGTAAGCATGGTGCTGGGCAGTTTATTGATTTTTTTCAGAAGAATGCTTGGCTTTGGGTTTTTGGCAGTAGGGAACCAATAAATTATTTCATTTGAGGAAAAAAGTTATTTTAAATCTATTTGAATTTGCGCTGTCTCCTTTTTCCCCCCCATGATAAAAGGTCTCTCTTTTTTTTTTTTTTCTTCCAGGTTTGCAGCTAAAACTGTGCACAGTGGGTCACTGATGCTAGTCACAGTGGAACTGAAGGAAGGCTCTACAGCACAGCTTATCATAAACACTGAGAAAACTGTGATTGGTTCTGTTCTGCTGCGGGAGCTGAAGCCTGTCCTGTCCCAGGGGTAACCTGCTTACATCTGGACTTCAGAATCTGGCACACAACAAAAGTGCCTGGCATCCACTACTGCTGCCTTTCATTTATAATAATAGCCCTTCCATCTGGCAGTGGGGGAAGAATACACTCTTGACATTCTTGTCTCCTGCTTTAGAATGCTAGTGTGTATCTATCATGTATGCAGTACTTTCCCCTTTTTGCTTTGCTAACCAAAGAACATATATTTTACTGTCAGTTAACTCTTGAATCCATGTGGCATTTTCTCTGTCCTGCTACTTCTTGTGGCCTTCTTATCTTCCTTTTCTTTCTCAACAATGATGGACATGAGTTGGACATTTCAAGTTCATTGGAAATCATCTTCGTTTCAGCAGTAAGCAGAAATTAGCAAAGAAATAGTCTGGCCTTTCAGCTTGGTATGTGAAAATGGGATGACATACTTTTTAGAATTAAGTGCATAAACAACAAGATCTATGAAAAAATTTGTTCTCTGAATTTCCTGCTATCATAATTGAGTATTGACAGCTGTCATCATGAAATTATCACTGAATAATAAGATAAATAAACTAGCATATGAATCACATTTGTCTTTGCGTTTTTATTGGAAACTAGTCGTGATCTTGAAGTTCATATGCTGAGGGTCTTTGAATTCTAAAGTAAATATTTTGAGTATTAGATTATGCAGAGTAGCAGCAGGGTTTAGTTAGTAAAACAAAAGCCACTTTCAAACCAGGCAGATTTTCTAATTGTGTTATAGAATAGTTAACTCCAAGAAAAAGAATTGGTATGCTTAACAAAAACACCCTTTATGTTGCAAAACAAAATGTCTCCTGCCATGCAGTTTGTATCTATTTTAGTAGAGATCTGATTATAAGGTCTGTTAACATCTGCTAAATAAATTCTTTGAATCTCATTGTTCCCTTAAAAATCTTAATGCCCAACTTTGACAGACTGAAACTCCTCTGAAAACTACTTATTATAAACTTAATTGTAAAAAGTTTGAAAGCCAGTTATGTGATTAACATGTTAGCGTTTTTCCCTAGAGCATTTCTTTTATTTTCTAATACTTTTATACATTTTTAAAACCAGCTGAAATTTTATTTACCTTTTCCATACAGAGTAATGGGCTTTAAGATAATATATGGTAGTCAGTTCTCTTTGTATAGAGCCTTATAGATAATGGTAAAACCAGTAAAAAGGAAAAGAAAGCACATTGAAACACTGGAGGACATATATAAAGTAGAAAAAAAAAGCCAGAATGAAACATTCTTGGGACATACATACTGAGAAGGACAAAACAGACTGGAAAATTATTTAAATTTTCAAGCTTGTGAGCTGGAAAGAGCAAACAAGATTGTTAAATTTTCCTGCTTCTGACATACAGCAGTGAATCTAAATGGAGAGAAGTCTGACGGTAGAAGCCACAGTCCGGCCTCTCTCTGCAGCCTGTATGTTGTCGTAGTCCTGACCCAGGAGCACCTCTGGAGTTGCAGTCCATTGGCATTTCCATTGTTAACCCTGTTTCTCAGGGCCCTGTAACTTTGGGTTTTTAAGTGAGTAACTTTTTGAGATGTTATAGAAAATTTGACAGGCTAGATACCTGTTTTCTGAAAAAAGTATTTATGCTTACAGTGGCACCATCCAGGCAGAAGGAAAAGTGTGTGTTGTGATGAAGAGGTTTTTATTTTCCTTAAGTTAGAGCACTCATCTTTAAAAATAGGTCATATTTTTTCATGTTTTTTTTTTAAAACTATGGGAATGTCAATAGGACTTTACTTTTGAATAAGATAATATTTTTGAATGCTAACTTTCATAGTTAAAATCCATATTGTCAGTAATATAATGTAGTGTGCTACCAGTTGAAACCATTTTAACCTCAATAGTTTAATATCATTAAAATATTTTTTTCATGTAAATGAAATTAGAAAAATGGCCGTAGTCCCAAGTTCAGAGTTTGGTGAGATTTGGGTATTTTTTTTTTTTTAATACAATGATTCAGAGTTCCTTGCCTCATATTTTCTTTAACTTTATCATAATCCACGATTATCTTGAAATTGTTCCATTGAGTCGAGTTAGTCAGTGTTGGATTCTTAATTCTAGCTGTATTTTTTCCTTTTAATGTTGACTTAATGGGACATTTTATGTACACCAGTCTTGAAGATTGGCTCTCATAGTATATTTCAGACTGAGCCTCATTTTTGGAATTGCAATATATTTGCTTTATTATTAGAAGAAAAAATTTTTTTTATTTTAAAGAAGCTATAACAATGAACTTATCAAACTCACCTACTATATACTTTCTCTTCCCAATAACTATTTGCAAACATTTTAACAACTTTATAATAGCTTATGAGAAGAGTTTGCCTTTGTCACCTGCGTTTTATTGTTAAGAATTTATATGTTATGTTACAGAAGTTAAAAATCCAGAAAGATGAATAATGTAAAGAGAGATTTAAAAGGAAAACCTAAGCTCTTTCCCCTGCTTTGTTCCCTTTCTGTAGTCTCTCTGACCTTATAGACAACTTTGCTTACCGGGGGAAAACCCCTCTTCTCACATAATGGGAGGGGAAGAAAGAGCCCTACGGTATAACACAAAATTAACAGAGCCATACCATTCCTTTTCTGTTTAAAGACTGCATCCAGTGTGAAGTGTGGTAAGCATTGTCAGGGGTATGGTAAAATATAATAAGCTGTATACCCCCAAGAAACTTGCAGTCAAATTGGCAATTAAAAAAAAAAAGGCAACGTGGACCTTTCTTAAATCAGCAAGACCTGGTTTACGAACAGATTTTGCTTATATACTAATACAGGCCCACCGACTCCATCTCCTTTCTCCTCACACGGTGGACTGGTCAACCACTTGCTTTTCTTCCGTCAATAGGAAGTCAGTTAATTAAAAGACAATTATTTTTTTGCAGTACTTGCTTATCTTTTTTAATCCTCTCCTTCCCTTCTGCCTTCTAACTTGACCAGTTATCTTGAACGTTTTCATGATCAATTTCACTTTCTTCCTAATCTTTTTTTGGGGACAACAAATAAACAAAATATCAAAGATGACAAGTTTATGATAGTGTGTGTTATAGTCTTAGATGATGGAAGTTGTGTTCGATAGAAAAATAAGCCTTAGATGACCAGAAGATTCTTTTCTGAATCTTCACGAAGATTCCATCTCCCTTTTTATCTGACTTCCCAACAAACGGCATTCAGTACAACTAAATGAATTGCTTTACTCTTCCTATTTTTGGTAACATTTCTTTTCTACCACTTTTCAACTATGTTATGAGATAAGCAGGATTTTATGATCTGATCTGGGAAGTTAACACCACATTTAATTGTTTTCTGAGGGAAGATGTTTTAGGTTCTATCTGATCACTTCACCAACAAACTTGGAACGTAGCTCTTTGAGAGCTGAATTATGAGATACATGAAGCAACTGCATGATTAATTGTCCAAATAGCGGCAATAAGTGCCACTGGATTTGAGGAAGAAGTGATCACTGGCTTGGAGAGGTCTGAGCGGGTTTAACTGAGGCAGTGAAGCTAGCTGGGCCTGAAAAGTGGAGTGGCATCCAAAAAGAGAAGAGGAGAGGGAGAGTTTCCAGGAGTAAGGGAAGGGAGAATATATTGATCTCAACCGAGGCTATATCTTAATATGCATTTGAAATACTTTTGTACAGAAAGCAACATGCCACACACCAGAAAATGATATGTCCCCTTCCTCTTATTGCCCTCATTTCTCCTCTCTCCCCTCTCACACACACCCAAACTCTCTCTCATTAAACCACCCCCAAACCTCCATCTCAATGGATGGTTGAGATATTATGGATAGGAATATGCTGCACGTGTAAACAGTGTAGAAGCAGAAAAAAGGTTGGAAACCATTGAACTAGAGATTAGGAGGAACTGGTCTTGTTGGTTTTATTCTTCTGCTTGTAAGCTGATTTTAAATATTTCTTTGGAGATTTTAGGTATCTCCTTTGCCATGGCAGGTTCTAAAATGAGTCTTTTTGGACTTATAGTCGAGTAGCTAAAGATTATTAAATTCCATTGGTGTCTATTTACTGGTTACGTGATTGTGAGTTGAGGTATGCTAAAACTTCTAATCTTCTTCACTCATGTTTGTCTTTTTCTGGAGACAGTTTTATGTACATAGTCACTTGTACATCTAGACCCTCAGATCTCAAATAAGGAATTATTACAATTCATTCAAACCTTAGCTTTAATGCATATCTAAGACACTAGTTTCTCATCTACAGCCTTGAGCATCAGAGACACCAAAGATCCAGACTTAAATCTAGGAAAATCCTTATTCTGAGGTGTAGAGATGTGCAGCAAACTAACCAGTGGATGATTCTGCCAATGGACTCACGCATGTCAGGCCTTGAGACTGCAGATGGTACATGGGCACTTGGAGAGAAGAGGGAAACTCTGCTTCTCCACCCTTCTCATTAACTGTCCTGGGACCAGGGGCAGGGGCAGGGGTTGTCAAGGGCAAAGTATCAATATGTAGGAGGTGGAGGAGATTAATTTTCTCAAACTGCACCCCAACCAAGATTCTGATTTTATCCTTCTCCAGAAGAACGTCTTCACACCCCCATTTGAGATCCACTTTTTTTTAGCAATGTGATGAATGAAGGATTCTTAATAAGATCAAACATCTCCATGCACAACAGTAAGGAAATGTTACAACTATGACCTACTAAAAGAAAAATGTTAAGTTCTGCCTTTGGAAAGAAGTTAATAAAGATTGTATGAAGATAGGCCCTTCAGCCTAAATTTAAACCCCCATTTCTAATGAGTTCATTTTTTTTTTTTTTTTTTTTTTGATGCTTATTCCCCTTTGTTGATAAGCTGTGTGTGGAATTAGGAGTAGCGACCAAGGGTAAGGTGGCAACTCAGACATGCTGCCAAGGGGACGCTGAAGCAGAAGTTTGGGGAAAACCAAGTATCCTCCCAATTGAAGGTTTGACTTTTGAGCCTTAAAAAATGAAGCCACCGTGAAAGGGCCTCTCACAGGTGTCACACGGAAATCCCCATCAACCAAGGACCCTCTTTCCTTCTTCACCCCAGAGTCTTCCTTTGGCTCAGGCCTCATCAAAACCATAGGCCCCAAATAAAAATATTTTGTAAACAAAGTTATGAACAGCTCAGTTTTCTAATTGCAAGTAATTATGATTTCTGTGCTGTGGTGTAATTACCTAAAAAAATGTTATTTGATGATTAAGATTCTGGAGTGAATTGTGTTCTTTGGGCTCTTGCACCGTTCCTCCATCAGGGACTTGGTTTCAGCGGTGTGCAGCTGCTGGAGTTGATTTACGCTGCTGCGGCTGTGGCTGGTCATAAATAAATCCTCTTATATAGTTGTTATGAACACCTGTTAGATCATCTGTCAGCAAAGCGCTGTTCACATTTATCATGGTGCAGTAGTTACTTTACCTCAATCCATTTCCAACTGACTCAGCCTCCATCGCTGGGTTACTATTACCACACCATAATCACTCGTTCCCACTCCATGTTACAACTTGCAGATAAAAGATTTCACTACTTGGCCAAATTTCATAAATAAAGGAGCAGTTCAGTGCAGTAAAAGTTTATTTTTGTCATCATTTGTCACCCCATTATTCTATAAATCAAATGAAATAGCACTATTGCCAGCTCAGGCGTTGCTGTCAGCCTTAGGCATGGAAATGGTCCATTTCTTCCTTTTAGATGAGATGACATGTCTTTCAGACTTAACTGGCTTATGGCTTTGTTTCACCCATTTTATTTTATTACCCCTTTGGAAAAATCCTTGGGGAACAGAAAGACTTAAGGAGTGAAATGGAAACAGAAAACACAGTCTAGCATGCGGCTTAGCTGAGTGATCTACGTTCTCCCTACACCCGGGCATTAGACACTGACCACCCCCTCCCCACCTGCACACTGCATCCTTGGCTGAGAATGCTTTTCATAAACTTCCAAGGGGGTTGTAGTTTCTATTTGGGAAAGGCCATTATGATACGGAGTTGCAGATATTGAAATACCTGATGTATATCCCCAGAGATCTTCTCAGTTTGATGGGCTCTATGCAAAGGAAAGACTAACTGGTTTTCTTTTTCTAAAATGCATTTTAATGGGTCTGAGGCCTTGAAAGGGAATGGTCACCCCCAGAGAGTGTCTTACACCTGGAGGTATGTCAGCTCTAGAGCTCTGGAGGAAG